GTTATACACTGCCTTTTTTTGAGCCCCGAAAAAAAAATTGTCTCAGATCGACCCGGAAAAAAAATTTTCGTATAGAATGTGGCCTGTAGAATCCATAATTTCAAACAGTTCCAAGATTGGGCTACTAGTTCAAAAGTTACAGCCCTTTGAATTTTTTTTCGAAATTGGTTTCTAGTCCATAACTTTTGATTGAGAAGTCTGATCGAAAAAGTACGAATTGTTTTGGATTCTACGCACCAAAATTAATAAGAAAAAGTGTTTCCCCGAGAAATTTTGGTGCAGTCGATTTTTGGTAAAAAAGGAAGGTTATACACTGCCTTATTTTGAGCCCCGAAAAAAAAATTGTCTCAGATCGACCCGGAAAAAAAATTTTCTTATAGAATGTGGCCTGTAGAATCCATAATTTCAAACAGTTCCAAGATTGGGCTACTAGTTCAAAAGTTACAGCCCTTTGAATTTCTTTCGAAATTGGTTTCTAGTCTATAACTTTTGATTGAGAAGTCTGATCGAAAAAGTACGAATTGTTTTGGATTCTACGCACCAAAATTAATAAGAAAAAGTGTTTTCCCGAGAAATTTTGGTGTAGTCGATTTCTCAGCAACACATTGGCTATGAAAGAGATATCCACCCATTTAATGTTTTTTTTTCATAGGTGATTTTTAATTACACGTTACTTTCAGTTGTAGCAAACAAGAATGATTATGGCAACTTGATGAACATGTTCGAGCTGAAATTTACGAATAGGGAAATGTTATCCGAATTTCACGAAGATAATTTATTATGGTGTCGGAATAATTTACAAATCTATCAATCTATTTCCTCTGCTGATAAGGTTTCCAAACGAAGCATTAACACTGCCAACATGGAAACGGTAGGAGCTATTTTTTAAAATCTGTATTAATGTGGATCAGAATTTATACAGTGTGTTTGCCTCACACAATCATTTTTGCAAATCGAATCTATACTATTACATGAATCTATTAATCTATATACTTAGCAGTCTTTAACTAGGTAAGGTGAAATTCAGTAATAAATGGAACCAAACATTTCTGCTGAAGGGTTTCATAATAGTCATTTTGATAGTATCTTTACAAAATAGTTACTATTTGACAATCTTTCAGGTTCATCCAGATGCTGAATTGCTGCTAATGCAGGAAAAAATTCAGTCCTATCAAGATGAAGTGGCAGACTTGGAGAAACAACTTGCCTCAATTCTTAATCAAACTGTAATCGATGGAAACGTTTACATTGATACGCTACGTTTCCATAACACCCCTACTTACCTCGAATCGCTCACAACGGATACCATCAATGGTGTAAACATTTCGGAATTTTTATCAAACGTCATAAAAATTACTGAAGACCTTGAAGCCGAAAGTTTGAGATTTGAAGATCTCACATTGGTCTCTATTGAGAACCTCAAAACCATAAACTCTCATCCTCTAACTGATCTAGTAACCGTCGACTCCGATCCAACTGACCTAATAGTGGAAGGTGATATTGTTTTCCAGAATGGTCTTCTCTTAGATGGAAAATTACACGGAATCACTTTCACTAAAGAGAACATCTTATTAAAAGAAGGCAACCAATCTCTAAGCGACTTCGGTCTAAGTTTACTTTCGGCAGAGATGTTGGATGCAGATTTTATTAACGACATCGATGTCTCCCAGATTGATTCCTTTACTGGTGGAATTGTTGAAAATGTTGATACAATGAATGTAAAAAGTGTTAGCATTAAAGGACTCATTAACAGTGTCGACATTGTCAAGCTGAATGAATCTGCACTGAAAACATTTGGCAACCAAACGGTTACCGCTAAGTATCGGTTTGATGTGTTACATGTTGATAGCTTGGACACAACGCTGTTGTCTGGTAAGGTAATACCTGACGAGTTAATCCTGGTCAACGATGGAGATTACCAGCTTAACCAAACGGTCAAGTTTACAAGTAGCATAACTTCTGACTCGGTCTTTGTGCAGCACAATCTTAACAACATTGATGTTGTTAGAGGAAAACTGGATGTTTTGTTAACGAACAGTGACACATTACAAGAGATTACAGGCTTTAAACAATTTGTAGATGTAGAACTATCAAGTTCGATAACACTCCTTGGGAAGATTAACAGCTCAAAAATTGAGGCGATGAGTCCGGTGAGAACTTTCAATCAAGAAATTACTTTGACTGGAGACTACTTCATAAATAGCGAGGTCAGTGTTGAAGAAATGCTGCAGGCGTCTGATATACAGAACGGGCCCGGCACGCATAGTGTAACTAAAGTGTATAAAGAAGGTGTTTCGGTTGCTGCTGACAAGATTCCTGTCCATTTGGAGTTCTCTCAGCAACTGCATGTAAGTGACATGTTGAATAGGTGCAAAATTAACATATTTGACAGGTCCAACAAGTATTCTGCGACACAATAAATGGGCTGGTAGTAGATTCATTTGTAGTCGAAGGTCTCAACGAGCCACAAATAATCAGGGGGTGGAAAACATTTCCCGGTGACGTGTTTATTACTGGTTCAACTGAGTTAATCAACGCGAACGGAGTTAATATGGCCAGTTTGGAGGCGGGGGTTTTAACCACTAACGGCAATCAAACCTTAACCGGGAATATTCACATTGAGAATGTCTACGCTAGCCGGTAAGCAACCCTGTCATAGTTCAATATGACCAATTTTTTCAGGGTAAATAATATCAAAACGGAGCTTGGTAATCGGCCTTGGCAAGATGTCATAAATATGCTGGATGGGCCAGTAATCGGTGGCACAACTACCTTGAGGGATGCGCTAGAAATTGAACGACTTGAAGCCGATAATATCTTCTGCAACTCGCTTATAAATGGCTACAATTTTACGCTCATGGTTGAAGACTCAATATTTCGCACGCAATCATTAAAATTGAATGGCGTAACGCACTTCTATACCTTAGTGGTTGAAAATATAACCGCTAAAAACATCGACTTGGACCTTGTTCCCGATATTATTGAGGACTCGAAGGCAATTTTTGAGTACACCGAAGATCTCCACCTAAATTCAGAGTTAAATGTGGAATCGATCACTTTCACCAATTACTTTAACGGGATTTCTCGCGATAATTTTGGAAGGTGGTTACTCAACTCCGACGAGTTGTACTTCAACAGCGACCAAACGTTCCAAAAAGTTACAATATTCGGAAATCTCTACGTCCTGTCCGGATTTCTGGATGACGTGAACATTACAATGTTAAGTGAGAATTCAGTTAAAATAAACGAGCCCAATGAATTTCTAACTATCACTCTTAGTAAGTGTGGGTAAATTGGTTATCGTGCTCATTTGTCCCTTTACAGATAATGGACTCGCGTCAAACAGCCCAATCGTCTTGAATGGACAATTCGAATCGCTCGATCTTGGCGATATTGTTCTTTCAAATACGAGGGAGAATCAGTTAATTCTAGATGAAATTACATTCCACGAAGATGTCACTATTAATGGAGAACTAGTGTTTAATGGGTTAATTTCCGGTTTCAATTTGGGACAGTTTTGTAGATCCTTTGATGATTTGCGCGGCAAATCCCACAAACGTCTTAAAGTTAATGGTGAGTAAATTTATGTAATATTAACGCATCCAATTTGAGGATGGAAATGCAACTCCAATCTTCTTTATACATAAACGTCTAACGATTCATCCATTTGCGGGAAGTGCTATTTATATTTATAGCAAAATATCTATTCTCTTCTATCCTCAGAATGTTAAATCCTGTTAATTGTTCTGTTTGCAGCCATGACTTTTACTTGGGGACATTATTTTCTATATCCGCATGTTAAAAAAATGGATTGCGCATGAGCAAACCCAGTCCCAATTTTCTTATGCACGGATTTTTTGAAATTTTACGGGAATGTGCAGTTTGTGTTTTCAGATAAAAGGCTGTTAACATATTGTGGAAATGAGCTCTTCGCCGTTTACGGTTACTGTTTAACTTATTTTTCTTTTCATTTACTTTTCTTCCTGTTAGTTTCTACGTTGCGTTTTACAAATTGAAGACCCTCCTACGACATCTAGCCATAAGATCTAAAAGGTGGCCGCTTCGCCGTTTCAAAAATTAGGTTTCGAATTCGTATTTTATTCAACATAGGAACATTTGCAGATATACCGCTTCATAGGGAATGTGAGCGAAAGGATGTCCTGAAATAAAAGTGATCCCAACATGTGCATTTTCGAAAAATTTGTGCATTTTCGAGGTAAAACGCTAGTGAGTGAAGGAATCGGCATTTTCCAAGGAGTTATAAGATCAATTTGTTACCAGAATAGAATAACACCAACGTACATAACTTTAACTTATTTTAAATTTTAGTAATTGGTATAAAGTAGTGGTTTTTTTAGGAAATTGCATAAATAATTGCGTATTTATTAGCGTTCAATCAAACCGAGCATTAGATTTTAATTTACAGATTTTCAAAGGTTTCCGCAAGGCAAGGGGTATAAAAACAGTGCCGAAGAGGTTCAATTTTACTTAATGCAAGGGGGGTTTTGGACCCTTGTAAATGTCACAACAAATCAACAAGTTTCAAGAAATTACAGCACAATTATGTACTCTTCAGTGCCATTTTTGAAAGTCAACTTCTTGTCCACTTGCCCTTCGACTTGCCCTTTATGAGTACCCTCTTCCAACACACAGTCAGAATCTATAGGGCGATGTTTTGTTCAAGGGTCATGCTCTTGAACTTTTTTTCGCTGGTAGATTTTAAAATAAGAAATAAATTTTCTGATCTGTTTAGAAACTTTTTGGTTTCTTATAATGTTTTACTTATAAAAAAAAACAACAAAAATCGATTTTCGGTAGTGAGCTACATGAAAGCAAAATGTTTAAAATGATCCCCTGATTCTGGCTTTATTTGTATAAAAGAAACCAAAGAATTAGCCATTTCCGTATGTACATCATATGTAAGGCAATTACAGTAGGCATCAATGTTTATCGGGTAACACTGGTCGGATTATATTTACATTTTGTCAGTTATGGGTTCTTTCGCAGCAATTTTGAGGTCCTTGAGTATTGTTCTTCAACCGAACTTCGCCTTTGGGGTTGCAGTCTATTGCACATACGTCCATATGCATCATTTAAATCAGTGGTATTCAACCGGTGGTACGCGTACCCCCAGGGGTACGCAGAGCCAACTCTGAGGGTACGCGGTATGAGGGTGTAAAATGAACACGATCTGCATGAATCGCTTCCAAGGAATTTATTCTTGAACCTATATCTTACATTCTACATTTCTACAATCTACAATTCTACACTATATGAACAAATTATTCTTTGCGCAAATTTTAAGTGATTTAGCTTTAGCCTTTAGCGCTTCACTTGCGTCACTCGACGAGCCGCCGTGTATTAGGGGTAATAATATTGGCCGGAAAGAGCCGACGTCATTCTTTCTTTGTTGTATTGAACATTGGAATGTTTACAACTCATGAATTTACTACAGAAAATGAAATTAGTATTAGTTTTTCTGTCACTGAAATAATTAAAGGCCACTTAGTCCGCCTCACAGAAGCATTTTTAAAGTATTTTCCGCATATTAAAGAGGATGATCAAACACAACTTTGGATTACCAATCCTTTTAATGACTCAGCCATAACCTCAGCCCAGCTTTCCACCAAACTGAAGGAAGACCTCGTCGACATTTCTGCGGATAGCTCTTTAAAAGCAACATTTCAGCATTCGTCAATCTGTGATTTTTGGGTTACTGCTCGCACAGTTCCAAGAAGTCAGTGACATCGCTATTTCATAGCTTCTTGTATTTCCAACTACGTACCTGTGCGAACAAGGCTTCTCTTCACTACCATCGATCAAAACCAAAGTTAGAAATCGCATAAATCCAGAGTCAGGCCTCATTCTTGCCCTTACTAATGTTCGACCGAGAATTAAAATGTTGGCCTCCAAGAAACAGGCGCAGGCATCTCACTAAAAATGTACTTGCCAAATTGTTTCTAAAGTTTTTTCTTAGCACTAATGATATGTTTCGGATATATTTTATGTTTTTTGTACTTATAATTTTTTTGTTTTTATTAAATGTGCGTGGGGGTACACAATTTAAGTAACTTATTTTTGGGGGTACAGAAAGAAAAAAGGTTGAATACCACTGATTTAAATTGTACAAATAGGTACTACCTAATCGTATTTGTGAACTGCTGCATCACCCAATAAAGGTATATTATTATTATTATTTAAAAACACCCTGTATAAATGTTGAGCTTAAGGAACGTTTCAAAGGTATAAATTTTCAAATGCCTGCCATCGCAGAAACTTCTAACTAAAGCTTCTTAAAAACACCTTGTATACGCACAAATCAAACAATGTCATCGTGCCGAAATCGTAAGTTTTACAGATTTCCACCCCCTTATTTTACAATCTCCCCGCGATCGCTAGGTAGAACTTGCTTGTTATTCTGGCATTTATTTTAACGTATACATACAGGGTGATTCCTATAGTACCTGCCACCGTTTGGGAGCGTATAGGGGGTGCCTAGGGGAGTATTTTGATATAGGACACTTGGGGTCGGAAATCTAAAATAAGGGCGCCAGAACCAAATTTATCTTCTGGAATTTCACGCCTGTATGTAGGCAACCCAACCGACCGACGTTTCGCGCGGAGCGATGCAGAGCGAGTTAGCGCGAGGAAGCGACATGGGAGGGAAGGAGGGAAAACGACAGTCAAAAGCAATAACGTTTACAAGTGTTCAACGTGGCCACCGTTGTTCTCAATGCACTTCCTACATCTAGCCAACTATTATTATACTATTGCCATAGTGTTTATTCACTTGATACGCGTCGTTGCAGACGGGATTTCGTGGGTTTAAACAAAATTCTGATCAAGTGTCAGCCACACATCGCCGCCTGAGATCGCTCCGTGTGCACCGCCGGCCGGTTGGGTTGCCTACCTACAGGCGCGAAATTCCAGAAGGTAAATTTGGCTCTGGCACCCTTATTTTAGATTTCCGACCCCAAGTGTCCTATATCAAAATACTCCCCTACGCACCACCTACACGCTCCCAAACGGTGGCAGGTACTATAGGAATCACCCTGTATATACCGACCACAAAAAATACCTCTGTTTTATTGTAATGACCGGAGCAAAGCATCATTATTTCCAATACTATGTTACCGGTATCCGGGAAGAAGAATACAAGGAAGTATTTTCACCACCTACAGAATTCGAGTCTAAAATTTGGTTCTTCAATTCGAATCAACATCTTTTGCACTTTTGAACGCGTGCCATCCGAAACAACCATATTTATTGTTGGGTAAATATCGTCGCGTGGACCACATCTGGCTGAAACTAGCAGAAGTGGTAGTTTGAGTGGCGTTCTGTTACATATGAAGTAGGAGACGAAGTTTGTTAGCCTAAGGCGCCTGTTTCGCAGTATGCTGTCATCTTGCGACGGAAAAAAAACGTGTACGTTTCTGTACGCTAATTGACCTTTTTGGTCGACCATATGCGTGTGGAGTAAATGTGAAAAAAAAAAGAGCTTGCCCCCTCATTTCAGGTTTTCCTTGATGATTTATTGCGTATCTCTTTCGGAATACATTTTTTTGTCATTGTCAATCAATTAATTGTGTGTTTATTTGAATCCATTATACAACTCAGATAGTGTTAGAGATTTGTTGTATTATTATTTGTATCGTGTCGTGTTTGTTTATATTGTGCGCATGCATGGAACATTGAGTTTAGTAGATAAATTGCCCTCGAGAATACTCGCTTTGAAAATTATACATAAATTTGGAATTGTCGCTATTGATCTAAAACAGATAGAGTTCTTATATGTTCAGATTTTTCTATTTGGGGCCAAGATTTATCTCAGGTGTTAAATAAAAGTTTTGTAATTGATTCTTTGGAATTGTCGGGAGTTGATCGAGGTCACTGAGTCTCCTAAACTATTAATTTCGAGTCATTATTAGGATTTTGATTTGGAGCGAATGCCGGAGGTGTACAAAAAGGATCATAAAAAGTTTCAATGTGTTTTGTGGGCGGTGTAGTCACTGCACGCCATTGCACACCGAATTATTTGGCGCCGAGCGTGGGGCCGCAGCATTATATGTACAATTGCATCTTTTTAATTTTAAAGGTTTCTTAACATCGATAACAGAAAGGCAATGGTGTATAATGGGTTGGGTTATAAGGGTTATGAAACGTCTCCGGCGCATAATGGCCCTCCATGTCTATTGGTAAACCCCGTATATTTAGTTACCAAATTTAATGGAGACAAACCACCCACCTATCGAAACTCTACTGATCAATGGAACAAAATTTATCAAATACCATCTAAGCCTAAGCTAATCGACCGAAATTCAACTTTGCTTCTCTTTTCAAAATCCAAGAAACACCCGAGACGCATTTCTTTTACCGAATGACGTAACGTAATATTTGGAATTACCACGCAAATCAATTTACGAAGGAACGTTCTTACTTCCTTAAGTACATATACGGTTGTTTTTAGGAAACGTGTACTTTGCCAAAGGACCAAAAATCAATTTAATAAATGACCACTCCCTGAAGCAGTTGTTGGACTCGGCGTGGCTAAAAAACCAAAACGCTTCCATTTCAGGTGTATTGGAGTTCGATACCATAATTTTCGAGGACGACCTTAGCGTTGATGTGTGACGTGCAAACTAACAAGCGATCTTAGCTCACTTGACTTTGCAGGGTTACGTTGACGATGTAAAAGTGCAACTTCTTGCCCAAACATATTTCAGCAAAAGCAGGGATCAGAATATAACGGCGCGGTACACGTTTGAGGATAGAGTGTGGCTCGAAGGTGGAATTTCCGCTCCAATGGCCAAAGTTAAAGGAAGCGTTGGAGGGATAAACTTGGCGGAATTTATGAATACGGCATTGCTGAATAATTACGAGCAGGTGTTCGAAAATATTCTGTACTTGGATGACTGTGAAATCCACGGTATGAAAAGTTGCTTTAATTTTCATGCTTTCTAAGTCAACCTGTAGAGCTTCGTGGGGAATATTCAGTGAACGGTCTGAACTTGCAGAATGATGTAATGCTTTACAGTCGAAATAATATTGTAACTGGCAAGAAGGTTATAAGAGACGTCAGAAGCTACGTGGTGAAGACAGACAATGAGATTTTCATACAAGACGTTCAACTGATCCCATGGATTATGAATTCCGTTTTAAAAACCGGCACATTCCAACTGAGTGGATTGGTCACGTTCTTCAATCACACGTCTTTTCTTAGGGGGATAAGGTAGGTGGCTCAAGACGTAGGTATCAAAGTTACTATTCCACGGTTACAGCTCCCAAAGAACCGTCAACAATATCAACTTTAACACTGAAACTATCATGTTGAGATCAACACCACAGCTAGTAACAGCTCCAAAACACTTTTCAGATCTGAAAATCAAAGCGTTGCAAACGACAGGGATGCTCAACGGTGTTGATATGACTGATCTCATAAGTAAACAGGTAGGAGTATCTAATAAATGATTATGCGATTAATTGCAATTGTCTAGGCGTATAAAAATGGCAACTTGTTATTCCAATCTCCAATATATTTTAACGGTAGCATTACCACTCCAAACGTCCAAGTGGAGAAACTATACCAAGGAATAAATGTCACCGAGTTGCTTCGAAATATTACACACTATGCCTCGGTGAATAATTACAGTGAATATTTCAAAAAGCTCCTGGACGTTTCTTATCAAATTGTCGACTCATTAGAAGGTATCTTCAAAATGTCTAGTGTCTAATCATCAACTTGTTTTGCAGATCAAGCATATTACTTGAACTATTACAAGGTAAAGCAAGTATATCAATTGACAGATTTGATCATTCCCGTCGTATTTGATGGCGAATATGTGCAACTTTTAGCTTGCATTGAGAAAGGGAATAATAAATATACGACTAGGTTCCAGATTTGGGATAGCAACGGTGAATACTTTCGCCCAGACGAGAGTGAGTATCCTCGGTCTACACAAGAATTTAATTTAATCGATCCGAAATTCAGGATATCCACCATTTGATCGGAATAAAAGTCTTCAATACATTGAAGTAATCCAATTTAGAGGGAGAGATCATTGGTACATGGAACATGAAAGAACAGCTCATACATGTAAGTACATACATTATGCACAATCTCCAAATTTCTTGTAGTACTGAGTGAGGAAACTCATGTTTCCGTTAAAGTTAAAGGAAAGGAATGACCACCTTCCCTTGGAGTGATATTTTCGAGGATATTTTATGGGAAAGGTTTAGCTAGTCCAGTCAATTTGTACTTTCTGATTACAAAAGGTCCGGTAGAAGATTTTATTTTTCCGAGTTGTTTAAATGGTAAAGAGAGAGAAAAATCCCAGTTTGCCAATTCCACTGACGTCGGGAGAAATTTTTGTGGTCAAAAATCCGCAAAAATTTCTGCTTTTTTTCGATTTTTCTCAAATAACCCGCCAACGGCCATACTTAGGTAAAACCATCCATTATTAAAAACTGTAGTGTATAAAAGTACCTTTCATTTGATATTTTATTTGACCCCCTAACATGTATAGTTTAGGAGATACACTAATTTAAAGTTTCGTGTTTATAGTAATTTTTGAAAATAAACCATCACGATAATGGGTCGAGGAGGAAGACTAGGATTGGTAAAACTAAAAGGTAATTCCTTTCATTGAGTTCATTCATTAGAGTACCATTAAGGATAAAACTCTTTTTTTTAAGGGGTTCGAAAGAAAAGCGGGAGCTGGTAGAAAACAGTTACTTTTTTCCCTTTTATTAGAATACCATGGAAGATAATACCCCCACCCCGCCGGTCACCCAGTGATGTCGAAACGGAGTCGCACAGGAAGCTTATAGTTTGTACAAACCAATTCATTTCGATGAGACCTTTCATTAGAATACCCCCTCTCCCTCCACCATTTTCAAAATTTTGACATGTACATACAAAATCTGAGACAAATTAGTGGTCCCACATTTCTTTTAATTCTTAAAAAATGCGCTAAAAATGTTATTGTTTTTAAAAATTACTATAAACATGAAACTTTAAATTAGTGTATCTCCTTATGAACATTTGAAACCATTTACAATGTAGTTGTCATGCTCGTTATGGCCCATTCCTGATACCGGCATTTTTTCAGATTGTTATCTTCATTCGTTTGAAACTTACAGCTCCGTCCCGAGACTTTGGCGGTTCAAATTCGTGGCTCACCAACGGTGAGAGACACGAGTGTAGGTTAAATGAGGACAACTACTTCTTTTTTTATTAAAAAAAATGGACAAACATTTTTTGAAGATAACTGAGATATCACCGAAAAACTGAAAATGGCAAATTTTGTTTCTATTTTTCCTAGATTAAACGATCGGAAATGGACGGTTCGCGTTAGCACTTTCTATGGGCTCCTTTTTCAGAGAATCTAAATCTCTTATCAGATTTTCCTAGAGGTTTTCCATAATATGCTAGATGTAGAAGCTACAGGCTATTATACTTTCTTATTTCATATGGACGCCATATTGGATTTATACAAAATTAGATAGAGGACAAAAAAAGAAATTCATATGAATGCATCGCCATCATAGCCATGTTGATTCAGCAAGGCCTAGTTACCCGTGGATGTTTAGTTGAGAAATAAATGTAAAACATTTGATTTTGATATTTTTTTGTAAAACGTCATTCATTTTCTTTTTGTGTCTGACATAAAAATTAACTTTCCTATTATCGCTACTGCATTAGCGTTACGTTGTTGAATTTGAATTTAATAATAATTTCATTAGATTCATAGCGTTAAAAGGGCAAACTGTCTCTTGAAATTAAAAAATTAATTTTGCAATTATTGCACCTGGATTAGCGTTACGTAAAAAAATTACATTTATATAATTTACAATTACAATTAAATAATTTCGTTAATTTTGCATTCGGTAGCTTATAGCTCTGGCAACCAAGAAAAATCCTGACGATTAGTGTGCGCATGCGCAGACTGCGTAAAGTCAACTTTCTTATTTATAGATATTTTTTGAAATTTTTATCACAGATTCTTCTAGTAAAGGCAAACATATCGCGTATTTTAAACATTATGCGCAGACTACGCCATGCAAAGTTTCTTATTCATAAGAATATTTATGCCAATTATGCCAAAAAGATACTCTCCCTAAGACGAAAGCTCGTTTTTCATTTTTTTAAACTTACTTTTAGGATTATATATTGTTAAAATTACATTTACTTTTGATTTGTCTCAGCTACACGAATCTGAATCTAAATCCAAAGCTATTTTAATATGTGAAATCTCGTGTTGCCAAGAATTGCGGTTGAAAATGGTTTCAAATTTTTGATTCACAATTTTTATTTTCAAAGAACTTCAGATAGGTACCAAATTCATCAAAATCGAAAATCGAATTTTTTCGGAAAACTGTTTTTGGGGTACACACTACACACTTATGGGATACGAATGAATTTAATTATTACGCCCTGTATGCATGATGTAGAACTGGTTTATGAACCATGGGGATTTCAAGGCTAATTTCTTTATTTGGAAATATTTTCTCCCCTAATTAATGTAGAGCAAAGTTTTGCAATTTCTGGACTACAGGGATTCTTTAATCGATTAATGTGAAAGTTTCAACTCGATAACGAAAAGGGATAAGTTTAAACAACCCTTAAAACCCGAGTGGACAAAAATGTTTTTGCGCATTCTTTAGTGATAAATACCTATTTACCTATAAAATATGCACCTATAAAATATGCCGCTATATCTAGCCGCTCTTTTCACACATTTATTAAAAACAGTTGAAAAATCACAATACCGTGATTCTACAACTGATTATCCCTTTAGCTAAACTAATCGAGCAAAAATCATACAATTTTGTAGAAAAGTGCATTGTCTTTCAACTTAATAATAATAATAATAATAATAATGTGTTTATTTCCACCAAACTTGATGTGGCAACCTATGTCCTACTACAATCCCTATATTTTATGTTAAAAATTGTTAACACTTTTTCCAACGCCCCTTATGCCAAAGCGTCCGCCGATCCACACGCCGCGGCCCAGGACCAGCTTTAGGCGTAAGCGATGTAACCCTCCGCTTATGGCGCAGACAAGAAGGGGCGTAAAATTATTCGCAAATTTAATGACTGTCGAATCACGGATGTAAAACACCGACGGCGTTTTCTATTTTTAAGATCAAACGATCACGATATAACATAAACTGAAAACATTCCTAATATAGTAAAAAATTATGTAGCGAATATTCCAGAAATCCCGATAGATATCGAGGCACCATAAAAGATTATTAATCGGCCATAAAGAACAAACGCGGTTGTGATGTAATCTTTCCGGAAAATGTGATGTTTTGTTCTAGAATGTTCAAGACCATTCGGGAGCACTCGAGTTGGCTATATAAGTAAATCGAATTGCGTTTCAGGAAAGCTCCAATTTCAACCTCGAAGTAATAAATAGTTCCCACTGTTATAAACTGTGTTACAGTGAGTGATAAATAATATTTGGGTGTTATAAATCAATTCATTTCGACATTGTGATAAATGTATTGTTAATTAATTGTAAATAAATAAATCACGTAATTAAATTTACGTTACAATATGTTTTAAGTATATTTTTAAAAACCTGCTTGCCAAAATTATTTAGGTTTTAGCGCGGCGGCCAGGGGCGTAAATTTTAGTGCTTCCTTACGTAACTTTTGTCTTGAGCCGGTGCGGCGCTGCGCCGCGCCGCCGCGATTTGAGGTCGCGCTACGGAATAAATTTAAATGAACCAATGAGCGTCCAGTCGATCAACATTCACGATCATTTTAGAAGATGCATTTTTAGCGCAAAATAAATGAACTGCAACGCATTTTCGAAAATGACAGTTTGGTTTTTAGTTCGGTTTTTAGCCATAACTTCGCACAAGAAAGAGAAACATTAAAATGGGAAAATTACAACATAACATTCTGCATAACTTTACACATTTAAGCGACTGTATCTCTCCATGCTTAAGTTCAGATACAGGGTGAGTTTTTTTTTTCATTTTCACTATGGGGATCTCGTAAACCGTAATGCCCGTTTGCACCGACAAATTTAAGCGGAGCTTAGCTTAAGCGCCGCTTAACATCCATGGCAACGATTATTGAGACAATGGTTGCCATGGATTTTAAGCTACGCTTAAGCTAAGCTCCGCTTAAATTTGTCGGTGCAAACGGGCATTACGGTTTACGAGATCCCCATAGTGAAAATGAAAAAAAAACTCACCCTGTATCTGAACTTAAGCATGGTCAAACGTCCAGAGCATAGTAGGTAGGTACACAAATAAAGTGAAATGTAAAATGAGAATGATCATTTTCGATTGGGGTGGTAATTAGAGGGTGATTTTTACATTTTCTGTCATAAAAAAGATAGGAGCCAACATTATTTTCGTCATAACTCAAAACTTGCATATTTTTGACGCTAGGGAAGTTATAAAAAACAAAAAGGGGTTTTCAAGCATTCTAGTTGAGATTCTACTCAATCTATGAGGTATTTCACGAGTTGACTATGACTGTTTGTACCTCGGTTTGTACTGAGTCTACAGACACCATAAACACACAATCCTTTTTAAAATACTTCGTTACTGAATTATTTATTACCTTTTTCTTGTAGCGGGAAACAGATATGAAGGAACCCTTTTCAAAGTAACCCCTAGTGGCCTAAAAGAAATTACAACAACCATTCTCCACGGCGGAACTCAATCAGTCACATCATTAGACCTTCCGATGCTGAACAAGTGCATGTTGCTACTGTTTATAAACCATGGTACAATCTTCTGTGAAGATATAGGATCGCGGAACGGTTTGAACTGGGAAGTTTTCCAAGAGATGCAGACTTTCAACAGCCTTGGGGTAGTACTTAGGGGTAATTTTTGTAACATTTTGACACATTGCTGTTTTAGAGTGCCACATCAGTTGTGAACAATGTAACCCACCTTTTCATAATAAATGCCGGTACACTAAAGGAACCGGCAAATGTGAACGTATGGAAATATGACGAGGTCATATCAAACTTTGTTCCGGAACAAACTATTTATGTTTCACAACCGACTAGCATATCAACAATTCTGTATCAAAATTGCAACTTTGGTGCAATTGCATCCGGTTCTGCAACGAACGCCAGAGATTCCGGAATGATCACCATAATAAAGTAAGTACCTACTGAATCAGTTTCGATGCCACCAAGTTTCATTACAGGTATGATGAGGACAAGGGATACTTTGTTAAATTTCAAGATATCGCCGTGAGCGTACCCATTCATGTAAAATTCGCCGAGCTACCCACAAAGGAATTAGTTCTGTATATCTCAACCCACAATCCGACACAGCCCCTCATTGTCTATCAGTATCAAGGCATATCAAAATTTGTAAACAAATTCGTGGCCACTACAATACACCACAGTTCGGTAATTAAAAGTTTCAATGCTCCCGATAACAGACACTTCGTCCTGTCGACGAGTCGGAGGGAAACCAGCGTTATTGAAGCTGTATTTAAAGGGAAAAAGATGATGTAATCGTTATATTTATTGCAACTGTTGTTAAATTGTTTGTTGTGTATAGTTTATTTAGGCGTTGTTAATTTATTGTTAGTTTTGAGAATACAAGGTATCTACACCAAAATAAAAATTGGAGGAATCTCCAGAAATTGTTATGATTTATATGTAATGTTAATAAATAACAAAAATGATTTTACCTTTTATTCACTGAAGGAATGTTTGTAAACTGCAGAAGAAACCAAACGAAAAGACAACAACCTCAGCTGTTTTTTGTTTATTATTGAAGTTAGACAAATATGAGGATGCACCACTCGCCCCGCTGCACGATTAACCTACAGTGCACTCCTGTACTAAACCACAGAGTACCTAATCTTCCCCTACCGACAGTTAACTAATCCAACGAATGTTCAAAATCCTGCTTGAGGTAAATGTAAAAGTAATTATGCGTAAAACAGGTTTTCTTTGTTCACCAGTTCACGGTAGGTTGTTTAATGCATCGATATACATTTTTAAGTTTTAGAAGAATGCTAAACATATCATTGGTGGGTTTCGAATAAATCAATTTAAAATCAGGGATTGGTCAAATGTACCTTCGTGTGCTGCTTGTTGAAGCAAGTGTGGAAGTAGTCTCAATCTGTTCGTTTGACCTTGGAGAAACAATTTCGATGGTGGGTTTCTTGAAAAATTTACGTTTTATAGAATTCTAGAGTAAGCATGCATATGGTATATCCTGTACATACCATATACAGGATGCCCATTATGTATGGAATCTAGTATACCTATGTCTCGATAAATATCGACCTTATACAACATTTTTCTATATGAAAGATTTAATTTCCTATAATAAGGCAGCATTCAATTGTTTTATTTCAGAAAACAAATGAGTAAAGAAAAACATTGATTTTTTTTTAAATGGTAGGGTAGTGTACCTTTTCATTACGCTCATTTGATAGAGATTTTTTGTCTCTTTTCCAGAATGTAACATGTTAGTATCCTTACACAAAAAAATTTCACAAAATTTATTATAATTAGATCAATAACATTAATCTAGATCTCCTACATCAAAATTAAACAAATGTACGTGTACGTCATCGAAAAAAGAAAAACAAGTTGTAAATCAGCATATGCATGAGTAATCTAACTCAAAATAGACTAGAGCCTGCACTATAGCAGAAAGCTTTTAGTGAAAATTTGAAGTCTCTAGCTATTGTAATTGCTGAGATCTGATCCGGACAGCCAGCCAGCCAGTCATAACGAATTTTTTTCAAAAATGCGCTAAAAATCTCTATCAAATGAGCGTATTGAAAGAGTACATTGCTATTTAAACAAATTCAATTGTTTTTCGTTACTAATTTGTTTTCTGAAATAAGAACAACTGAATGCTGTCTTATTAAGGGTAATAAAAAAAAATTAAACAAGTTTCATATTGAAACATTTTGTATACAGTCGATATTTACCGAGATATATACTATATTCCATACATAATGGGCACCCTGTATATAAATGTATACATGGTACACGCACATGTACATGTTTACCACATATATATAAGAGAAGATGGTTTACCATGAGATCTCGCTCTGCATTGTTTAAATATCCAAATACAAAATAGATTTTTGTACACCAAAACAGATTTTTAACACATATAGGTATTTATAACATTATTGTTGTTAGGTATGGATGGAGATAATGTTGTACTACCCATTAAAATCGAACCAAAACAAGAAGAAGAAATCCATTGCTTTCTTCAGGGACATATTTCAGTAAGCAACGAAGTTTTGGTGACAGTAAAGGATGAAATTAGCATTCCTACACTATGTTCTAAATCTCCTTATAATGAAGAAGTAAAGCAACAATCAGACTTTCAATATCAGCTTTTAACTCGGTGTAAAACTGTGTCTAAACATTTAAAATGTGATGATTGTGATTTTGCGACGAATTATAAAGGCAACTTCAAACGACATCTTTTAAAACATAACTTTTCTAAGGATTTTAAATGCGCTAATTGTGATTACGGGACAAATGATAAACGAAACCTCAGACAACATCTTTTGAAGCATAAGGTTTCGAAGGATTTTAAATGTGCTGATTGTGATTATGAGACACATTATAACTGCGATCTTAAAAACCACCAGTTAAAACATACAGTTTCTAAGGAGTTTAAATGTGCTACTTGTGATTATGGGACATATAATAAACGCCTTTTTGAACGACATTTTCTAAAACATAGACTTTATAAAGATTTTAAATGTGCTAATTGTGATTACGGGACAAATGATAAACATATCTTCAAACAACATCTTTTGAAACATAAAGTTTCGAAGGATTTTAAATGTGCCTATTGTGATTACGGAACAAATAATAAACTCCACTTCAAACGACATCTTTTGAAACATAAGGTGTCTAACGATTTTAAATGTGGTACTTGTGATTATGGGACAAATCGTAAAGAAAACTTAAAACACCATCTTTTAAAACATAAAGTTACGAAGGAGTTTAAATGTGCTGATTGTGATTACGAAACAAATAATAAATGCTACTTCAAACGACATCTTTTAAAACATAAAGTTTCTATGGAGTTTAAATGTGGTATTTGTGATTATGGTACAAATCTCAAACAAAATTTCAAACAACATCGTTTAAAACATAAAGTTTCGAAGGATTTAAAATGTACCGTTTGTGATTTTGAGACAAATTATAAATCCGATCTTAAAAACCACCTTTTAATACATGCGGTCTCTAAGGAGTTTAAATGTCCTACTTGTAATTATGGAACAAATAATAAACGCCTTTTCCAACAACATCTTTTAAAACATAAGGTTTCTAATGATTTTAAATGTTGTACTTGTGATTATGGGACAAATAATAAACACTACTTCAAACAACATCTTTTGAAACATAAAGGTTCGAAGGATTTTAAATGCGCTACTTGTGATTATGGGACTAATAATAAACGTCTCTTGAAACGACATTTTTTAAAACATTGTTTCTAAGGATTTTAAATGTGCTGATTGTGATTAAGTATAAGACACATTATAAGTCTGTGATTATGGGACAAATAAATATCACCTCTTCAAACAATATCTTGTGAAACATAAAGTTTCGAAGGACTTTAAATGTCCTGCCCTCGGTCCTGTCTTAAACAGCACCTTTTATTACAAAAAGAGTATTTTTATCTCGATTTTTATTTTTTAAATTACTTATGTTTTGATTACATGGTCTTGACCAGAAGTAATATTCATATAATTTGAGGTTGTTCGTTTAAATATGCGGAAGTTATGGAATTGTGTGATGTGTGTACTGACGTGTTTGTAAACTAACATTTTCTCCTTGTATGAGGCGGTCACGGGGGTAGCAAAACTAGAACCACATTAGTTACGACACCTATTCCGGGACTGACCTCGACAATTTGGACCACCATGTACATACTAACACCCATGTGTGAAGTTAGCATCAGAATTCTCAACGTCTGCGTCGATAATTCAGTATGCTATTCAAAACTTGATTCAAAACAACATACAATAAGTTTTTTTAAAATATATAAACAAATATTTACGTGGCGTGGTGTACCGATGGGTGTACTTCTTATTCAACATATTCTGCTACTCAGAAAGTAAGGAATTTCTGGGATCTCGCTCTGTATTGTTTAATACCAAAATAAAACAAAATAGATTTGTGATTAAAGATTTGTAACACATGTATCGTTGTTAGGTATGGATGGAGATAATGACCAACTACTCCTTAAAGTCGAACCAGAACAAGAAGAAGAAATCCATTCCTTTCTTCAGGGAAGCATTTCAGTAAGTAACGAAGTTTTGGTAACAATAAAGGATGAAATTACTACACCATGTTCTAAATCTCTCGACAATGTAGAAGTACAGCAACAATCTGACTTTCAAAGTGGCTCTCTGTGTAAACCAGTGTCTAAGGTTTTTACATGTGCTACTTGTGATTATGGGAGTAATAATAAATACCACTTCAAACGACATCTTTTAAAGCATAAAGTGTCTAAGGATTTTAAATGTGCTACTTGTGATTATGGGACAAATCGTAAAGAATACTTCAAACAGCATCTTTTGAGACATAAAGTTTCTAATGACTTTAAATGTGCTGATTGTGATTATGGGACAAATGTTAAATGCAATTTCAAACGACATCTTTTAAAACATAAGGTGTCTAAGGATTTTCAATGTACTACTTGTGAGTATCAGACAAATAATAAACAAAACTTCAAACAACATCTTTTGAAACATAAAGTTTCAAAGGTTTTTAAATGTGCTGATTGTGATTATGGGACAAATAATAAGCACCTCTTTAAACGACATCTTTTAAAACATAGAGTTTCTAAGGATTTTAAATGTGCTGATTGTAATTATGGGACAAATGATAAACAAAACTTCAAACAACATCTCTTGAGACATAAAGTTTCGAAGGATTTTAAATGTGTTGATTGTGATTATCAGACCAATTATAAATCTAATCTCTACAAACACATTTTAAATCATAAAGTTGCTAAGGATTTTAAATGTGCTGATTGTGATTACGGGACAAATAATAAACACCACTTCAGGCAACATCTTTTGAAACATAAAGTTTCGAAGGATTTTAAATGTGCTGTTTGTCATTATGAGACAAATTATAAATCTGATCTTAAACATCACCTTTTAATACATGCAGTTTCTAAGGAGTTTAAATGTGCTGCTTGTGATTATGGGACAAATAATAAACGCCTTTTCAAACGACATCTTTTAAAACATAGAGGTTCTAAGGATTTTAAATGTTCTACTTGTAATTATGGGACAAATGATAAATGTTACTTCAAACAACATCTTTTGAAACATAAAGTGTCGAAGGAATTTAAATGTGCTGATTGTGGTTTTGGGACAAAAAGTAGAACCTATCTTAAACGGCACTTTTTAAAACATAAAAGTGTCTAAAGTTTTTAAATGTGCTAATTGTGATTATAAGATTAATAGATTGGACTTTTAGGAAACCTTATGGGATACTGGTTTTTATCAGATGCTTGGATGGTTTTGAATTATTGATGATAGATTTAATTACACAAACAAGTTTTTTAAGTATTTAATTCACTATTGACAAACTTTTAACAGCCCATGATTATTTTTGTTACTAAGGACTGCTTGATAATAATT